AGGTGGGATTGCTCTGCAGACTGGATAGGATGGATCTAGGTGACCATGCAGTTCCCTCAGGAGATCCTCAGTCTTCCCATTAACTTCCATGTTTCATTTCCCAAATTTTTCAGTCTCTCACCCTCTAAAAATCTCAACACTTCTCAAGGCAGCCACTAATTCCTGGGTTTTTTTTTTCTTGCATTCCCTTTTTTTCCTGTCCTCTCCTATGGTTTAGTGGGCACGGTGGTGTTTGTTCAAAAGTTGGATTTGGTGATTTTGGAGGTCTTTCCCAGCCTTAATGATTCCAGGATCCTTTTCAAAGCAGAAGCTCAGCAGCACAGTGTAGGTGAAGATTCACTGAGTGCTGTAAAATGGTTTTCTGTATTTTATAGGTCTTTGTTCACCTACTTGACCATCTCATTTTCCCAAGCAGCTGTTTTCAGCTCTATAGAAAGATGCTGATTAATTTGAGTCAACTTGAAGTGTCAGAAAATCTGTCTAAGAAAATTTCAACTTGTCCCTCTACAGTGGCAGACTCTTTGTTTTAATGTCTCCCACTCTTCACTCTGTTGTGGATGAAGATGAATCTCTGAACAGAGTGAAATCAGCTGTGACAAGAAATGAGTTCTCCTCAAAAGTGTTGAATATACCAGGGTATTTCCAAGCAAACCAAATTTCCATGAAGACTTTTAATATGACACCACAAAAAAATTGACTAAAAAGAGAAAAATGTTTCCCATCATCTGTCGTTTTCCAAATTTACATTCAGAAAACATGTTTGTGAAAGACAACAATTGGGGTAGAGATTAAAATACTTTATTTACATATTGAATATAAAAAACCAAAGCAGAGAGGCAGTGGGTCAGAAAAGGGTACTGTGCTCTCTGATGACAGTCAACAAACTTTCAAATGCCTGCCTTTGTTTTGGTTTTAAATAAAATTCTGTCATTCCCCTGACAATCAAGGCCACTGCGACATGTTAACTATTTCCTTACATAATTTGCTAAACTGCAGCTAAAGTTCACTGCTTAAATTTCATCTCTGGGCAAGACTAAGTCTCCAGAACCAAAGATTAAAGTTCTCCTTGCTCATTTTAGTAACATTAGGGAAATTGGAACCCTCCTCTCAAGATTTCACTATTAAAGCTATTTATTCTAAATTGTTAGGGGCTCAAAAGGAAAATAAACTTTTAAATGTAAGTGCTCAGAGAGAAACAGATGTGAAGACAGCTAGAGGTAAGGAAAATAGTTTGATTGCTTTAATCAGCCTTTGATGAGTCCCAGAAGGAAAATAATGAGCAAAATGGAAAAGTAAACCTCTCTTTAATGTCAGAAAAAGAAAACAAGGAAGGGTTTTGCAATATCATGCAAAGGAGGAAAGCCAAGATTAGTCATAGAATCATGGAATATCCTGAGGTTGGAAGGACCCACAAGGAATATCAAGTCCAACTTCTGGCCCTGCACAGACACCCCAAAAATCCCACCCCATGCCTGAGAGCATGGTCCAAACACTCCTGAGCTCTGTCAAGTTTGGGGCCATGAACACTTTTTACTCCACCTCTGATTCCACTTTTCTCCTCCTTCATCCCTCCATGAGCTCACCCCTCACAGACTCCACTGCCCCAGGGAGCGTTGCTTTTCCAGCCAATGGACAGAATTTTGCAGAACAAATGCATATTCCTCAAATATGTGCAATTTCCAGGTTCAAGCACTCACCCCAGGGCTGGACAATCCCTACCACCCAGGTGTTTGTGATTAAAATCCCCATGTGCACCAGGGTTCAAACCAAGCCAGGTTTGCATTTCCACTCCAGCCATGGTTCAGGTGTTGCTGTTTGAAGTAAACAGATGTCAGCTGTAAAGTTTTACTGTTTGCTCAGACAAAATCACATCCATTGGAAATTTTACTCAGATAAAGACAAGGAAATACAATAGAAACAACATTTTGGGGTGGAACTAGGGGCAGGCCAACATGATGTCCATCTTTGTGCCAGCCAAAATTCCAGGTGGGCAGCACACAGTGACCTGAACACCACAGGTATCTGACAGAGCATATCCTGCATCAAGGCTAAAAAGTTGCTTTAAAAACTAAAATCTGCAGCATGAACACTACTATGTGCAAAGCAAAACAGCTTCCAGCTCACAGCTCCCTCTTGTCATTCCAGCTCAGAGCAGGGAAAGAATTAGAGCCCAAATGTCTCCATCCATCTGCCACAGACAAGCCCTCTGTCATGGAATTGTGGAACAGATTGGGTTGGAAGTGAACTTTAAAGGTAATTTAGTCCAATTTCCCTGCCATGAGTAGGGACATCTGCATCTAAATCAGGTTGCTCAAAGACCCTCCAACCTGACCTTAAATGTTTTCTGGGATTGGGCATGACCACCTTCCTGGAAACCTTTGCCAGTGTTTTATCACACTCACCATAAAAAATTTCTTTATTTTCTTTAAGCATAAATATGAAAAACCAGGAAACTTTAATGTGTAGCAGGCTAAGATTTTTAGGCAATATATTTGACCAACTGTGTATTTGGAAAACATAGACAAGCTTTTGGACACACAAGTCATTGTTCAGTTCTTGTATGAATTGTAAACATCTGCCTAGAACATGAACATCACCAGGGATACTCAGGCTGGTAAAATCTGTTAGATGAAAAGAAGCTCCAGTGGTGAGCTGTGAAAGGTTATGACCTAATAGCTATTTACAGACATAGGTATTTGTTAGAGCAGTTTTTAGGAAGCATCAAGAAATCTCAGTGAGATTTCTTTTGTAAAAGGAGATGGGGAAGAGCAAATAAAAGGGCAACTCTTCTGAAGATAAGAAAAAGATGAGGGTGGGATCCTGACCTAGCAAATATTTTCACATACTCCCATTATAAATGGGCAATTGCCACAGGCGAGGGCTGAGCTTCTGTACAAGAGTTTGCAAAATCAGAGTAGGTAAAGAATTAACACAGAAGTGTCACCTTGTTACTTTCCTAAATTGCAGTAACCGAAAATTCAAGCCCATGATTTTACTATGACAACAAAAAATTCTTATGGCAGGTCTTGTTCCTTTTGGTTACTGGAATTTTTAGAGTCTTCTAAATAAGATGCACTTTCTTCTCTCAGATTCAGAATTAAATCAAAGGCTCTTCACATCTGATATGATAAAATTTGATTCAGTTCATTCAAAGGAGACTCCTACCCATAGCCATGACTCTGTTCCAGCCAGAGTCTGAACTTTCACATCTGCTTTGAATGATTCCAGCTGTGCAGAATTTCAGGCACATCAGCACTGCCTCCCCAGAGGTTAATCCTCCCCTGTGAAACTTCAGGCTCAGATACATCTCTTTCAGTTGCGGCTCATGCAGGTGTATAAACCACAAAGGATCCAGCATGTGCATCCCTGCAAATCCCAATGGAGCCCAGACAGATCCAGGAGTGAATTATGGACTGTCAGAATGGTTAGGGTTGGGAGAGATCTTAAAGCCCATCCAGTTTCAGCATGGACAAGGACACCTTACACTATCCCAGGCTGCTCCAAGCCCCATCCAAGCTGGCCTTGGGCACTTCAGGGATCCAGGGGCAGCCACAGCTGCTCTGGGCATGCTGTGCCAGGGCCTCAGCACCCTCTGAGTAAAGAACTTCTGTCTCCAATCTAAATCTCTCTCTTTTAGTTTAAAACCATTCGGCCTTGTCCTATCACTCTCTGTATGGATAAGAAGTTGCTCTCCCTCTTTTTGATAAGGGCTGAAGAGGTTCTCTGTCTCCCTGGAGCCTTGACTTCTCCAGGCTGAACTCCCCTGCCCAGCTCCCAGCCTGGCTCCAGAGCAGAGGTGAGTGTCCTCATGGCACAGCTACAGCCACCAGTGGAAGCAGCCTCGATGCCCCCAGCACTGATTTGGCACAGGAACATGGTGTGCAGAACAGAGAATTCCAGAAGTGATTCCAAGCACTTGGAATTAGAAGCACAATAGTGACCATCTTCCAGGGAGGAGTCGGCAGGGCTACAAAAGCAGGTGTAGAACAGACTTGGTGTAGCAACAGTGACCAGCTGAAGCCCTCCCAATGCAGAAACTTCATCTTTTAACTCCATGTAATGAAGTCATTACAAACAGATGAATGGCCCAAAACAGTTGGTTTCACTCGCTCTTTTTGCTGCATGCAGCAGCTTTTCACTTGCACAAAGTCAACCATAAATCTGGAGGCCGGCAGTGCCTCTGGGGGAACAAGGCTTCCATAACCCTGACACTGCAGAAAATTGATGCACATGGAAATAAAAATCAGCTTTGAAATACAAGAAAGTACAAGAAAAGGAGTCCAGGCTGCTGACATGCTCTGTGTACCCTGCAGGGACTGTCACCTCAGGTGAACGGCCACTCCACAGCTCAGGTCCTCCATAAATATCCCCAAGCCCCAGACTTTGCCACATCTTGGAAGTTATTCAGTGCATAACCCCAAGGCACATAAACACTTTACAGCAGTGGCCTTTTATAACTCACATGAGTTACGGCTGTGATTTATATGGGATTATAGCAGCCACTTGGAGGTGTAATAAAACAAGATATTACTTTATGATTTATTTTTAAGACCAGAAAATTAACAGGAAACACAATGCGGGGGTGGGGGGAAGTGTTTAAATTGTCATTATTCTTTTGTGTTTTCCAGGACATTTTTGTAGACAAGATTTCCTAGGAAAAATTTGATGATGTGGTTGAGTTTCTGCCCGTGGCCATATAATAACCATTATAAAGCTCAGTTGGGAGGGCCTTCACATCTTTTGGAAAATAAACCTTTTGAGAAAAGAATCAGGAAAAAATAACATCTCGGGGAGTTGTATTTGAGGTAGCAAATACAACTTTGAGGTTTTTTTTGAGCAAATACAACAAGGAGTTTTTCCACTCTTAGAACTACAATTCTTAGATGTTCCAGTACCAGAGGCAAGGTGCTGGAAATAAAATAATTGTCAGAGATTTGTTCTAAAGCTGCACAACATGACAGAAAACCATTGAGATTCATATCTCTGCATCACTTCTACAGGTTTTGACCAACTTTGGTTTTCATGACAATGGAATTTTTCCTCTCCACCATGGCAAGAAAGAACCTCTTCCTCAGCCTCCTGCTCTGCTACAGCCTGTTCAGGGCTGCTGACTCCCACTTGGTCATTGAGGAGAAGACAGAATGCAACGTGTCCAGGAGGAGCAAAATGGACCTCTCAGATCTTCCACCCATCTCCATCGTAGGTGAGTAAAGCCTGCCCTTCTGTGCCAAATTAACAAGATTTGCAGGAAACACTGCTTTTGATTATTCTGAATTATTTGGATAACTTTGCTTGGCTTCATAAGGCAGAGAACTGTGGTGGCTGCACCACCCAAGAATGACAATGTGGTAAACCTCAGTTTAGAGGGAAAAAATAAAATTTATTTCAGTTTTATAGCTTTCCCTTCAGCTCCCATCACACTGTAAACCTTTTTATATTGAAGAGAAGTAGTCTTGTGCTAATGTGGGAAATAACCTTGCTTACAAAATCTTATGCATATGAGAAAAAAATAACATAATGTGAGGGTTTTAAGGGTCTGCTCTTGTGGTAGAAAAATCAACAGTATTAACAGGTATTAATATAACTTCACTTTACCTAACCTTTAAACAGGGGAAGAAAAGAGCACTGCAAGGGAGAGCCAGGGATCATTAATTTATCTGTCCAAGACAGGACCAACTCTGTCTCTACAGTTACTAGCAGATGACCACCTGTCCTGTTTGGGAAGAGCCTCTTTGGGGGGATGCTTAACTCTTTTCTTCACAAAATTCTTTCTTTGTGTCTGCCTTAACTCTTTCCATGTAATTTACACCAACTTCTTCTCTCAAGAAACTCATGGGTGTTTGGAGATAATCAGCTACAGAGCATTCATAACTGTGTCAAAATGCTAATAATTAAAATATAAACCTTCTCTTGTTTAGGTCCTTTCTGCATGTTTTTAGGGACTTAGTTTAAAGCACTCTGGTTCTTACCTTGTTTCCTGTGTTTTCTCCATGCTCTTGCTCAGGACAACATATCTTTAAGGAGAAACACTTGCCAAACACATGCATTTCTAAAAAAATCTGAACCTCTGAATCCTGAGTTAACTCAGTGTTGTTTAACTGAGAGTTTAGCAGAGCTTGTGCTGTTCTGCAGCCTCCCAAGCTGTACCATTTCATGGTCCTTGTGATCCTTGATGCCTTCACTCTCACAATTCCCATAACTTTTTTATGTCCCAATTAAAATCAGAGCTATAAAATACAAACCCTTCAGCTGATATTCCATCTTCTCACAGAAGTGAGCCCATGCTTTTGACATGGCAGATGGGCTGAGCTGTGGCACATTTCTCCCCACTGCTTCTTAGAGATGCATAATCCTAACTTATAATGGTAGAAGAAAAATAAATTAAACCCCCCCAAACCTGCTCAAAATATTTGTTCTTCATTCTGCAACTTAGTAAATCCTAGCAATTAGAAAATATTCAAAGATATATTGATAGAGGATCCTGGAACAGATAAGCAGCCAGCATTCACCAGCGGGGATATGGATGTTCTTTATCACAATCATCCATTACATACAGGCAGTGCTTATTACAAAACTCACACACTCAGAATAGAGGTATCAAAAATACCACAATAGCTTGGTGAGCTGGGAGGTGTCTCACACTTTAACAGTCTTGCTGTGTTAGAGCCCAAAACAAGCCCCAAAACAAGTAATGGAATTTACACAGTTATAAATATCTAAAATTAGATATGGTGGCAAATATATAGAGGGACCAAAACTACAGGCATGTGAATGAAACACCTTTGCAAGTAACATTATATAAAATGAGGTTTTCGGGGGAGAAGGAACAAAGAACTGCAGGATGAAAGGTGGCATCACAGATGCAGAGTTTATGCCAAATCAGCAGAGTTCTTGCTTGTGGAAAGCAGTGTACACTTGTAATTCCTTCCAAAATTGTGAATGTAGCACCACATTTTAACAGAAGAAATTACAGAATTCTAAAGACTTTTCCTATTTTTGTTTATGTGACTACTGTGCATGAGCACCCCAATCTTTTTCACAGAGACCTTTAATTTTATTTCTCTGAAATAATTCATTGTTTGCATTTTACCATACAATATGTAAAAAATCCTTTCTAAAATACAAATATCAGTTGCTCTTCTGCTTTGCACAAGCAGCAGTGACAGAGTTCAGACACTGAACTGAAATGAACATCACCGCAAAACATGCAGCAATGAGGTGGCAATGCAGGTTATCTGCCTCCTCTCACACAAAAATAGGATTATATAATCAAAATAACATTTGTAAAACTGATTCTGTATTTTGCTGTGCTATTCTCATTGAAGATTTAACTAGAAAATCCCAGAAAGTCAGCAGGAAAGAAGCAGAGAACAAGAAATCTTCCAAGGTAGGTGGTTGTTCAAAAAACTTTGTTGGATTGAACAGTTTGTTACTTCTAGAGTTTCCCTCAGTGCATTCATCTGAAAGGCTTTTACTGTCCTTCCCCGATTTAAATAATTTACATACAGTTTAAGTGTTGTAAAAATAGATGTGAAACAATAACAGTGGGAAGAAAATTAGAAGCTGTGGCTGCCCCATCCCTGGTCCAAGGCCAGGTTGGACGGGGCTTGCAGCAGCCTGGGTAACAGTGGAAAGAAAATTAGAAGCTTGGACCATCCCTGGTCCAAGGCCAGGTTGGACGGGGCTTGCAGCAGCTTGGGATAGCAGAAGGTGTCCCTGCCTGTGGCAAGGGATAGGATGAGGTGGGCTTTAAAATAACTTCCCACCCAAAGAATTCTGTAACTCTGAGTTTCAGAAGTGCACAGGGTGCCTGCAGCCACTGGGCTCGAGATCCCTCCCAGGTCTCAGGCACATGCTGAGCAACCCAAAATCTTCCACCTTTCCACATCCCCAGCAGAGAAGCTGCATTCCTGGGGGAGATGAGAGGCCTTTTCCCACTCCCTGAACTGTGTGTGCAGGGGAGGATTCCCATGGATGGAGGATCACTGGGGTCACGAGGTGGAGCATTGCCAAGCCACTGCCCTGCTCTCTCAGTGTCACAGCTCAGCAAACAAGACTGACAGGGAGTTTTCACTCATCTGAAAAGCTGGGAGATCCAAACAAAACACCTTAATTGGTTTTATTGATAACTTCACCATCTGAGTACATTTTGGCACCCCTTTCTTCACTGCTGCCCCTCTCCTTCCTAGAGCCCCTTTCCAAAGCTCCATCCAGTCATGGTCAAAATGAGGTTTGTCATCTTGCTCAGAAGGTTGCTATTACAAGCCACCTTTTCCCATTTCCCAGCCCCAATGCTTCTGCATTGCTAGCACAGCTCCCACTGCCACCGTCAGCTGCTCATTCCCCCAGAACCTCCCACTGTTCACCACCCTCATTTCACCTGTCTATGAATTCTCATGTTTTTATCTTCCAGAAAAATGCTAAACGCAAGATATCTCCAAAGCCAAGGCCCCCACCTGCTGCTAACTGTGTGCCAACCTTCAAAACCTGCAAGCCACACTTGAATTCCTGCTGTCACTACTGTGCTTTGTGCAAATGCCGAATCTTCCAGACGATCTGCCAGTGCCTGATGCTAAACCCCAAGTGTTAAGCCAAGTCAGAAACACAGCAAGCCTTCTGTCTTTCATTAGCTTCTCAAGTGCATATTTCAAATTGCCCCATGTCTCTAGTAATCAAAATAGAGAGCTCTGAAGCTTGAATTTACCCCTCTTAAACTTTAATGGACAGTTGTTTTTATGGGGTTAATGTTACCACAAGCTGGATGTTATTTCAGGAAGCAGACAGTCAGGGAGATTGGCACTGATTAGGCATTTTTAGCAAAAGAGCTGTGCTTTATAATGAATTCTGGATTCCTGTGGGTTTGAGCTTTTATTTGAAGGATCATATTAATGCCAGACTGCAGAATTATCTAACCAGCACCATAAAACCTGCCCCCATGGCATCCAAATGGCCACTAAAACAGGACTGGTTAGGCCAGTGAGGGACTAGAGCTTGGCTTTGCCCACAGGGACATCACCAGCATACAGCACAGCCAAAGTATCAGGCTGAAAATTCAGGGTTTGGGTTTAACTCCCATTTTGACACATTCAAAAAAAATCAGGACAAGAATTTATCTAGGTTATTCCACCTGCAAAGATGGACCCAAAGCTATAAGGACATTTTTTTAGTCATTCTCAGTTAAGCATTCACCTTCAGGGGTTTTGGTCATTCTGCCACCAGGCAGTACCTCCCAGGGGTATGACATACATATATACTATAAACCTAAATGTATCTGTGCCTTGGAATATAAAAATCAGATGCTTTTTTCTCCAGACATATCCGTAGGAATCAGCTCTTCAGCCTTTCTCCTCCTGCTGCCAAGGACACTGCATGTACAGAGCCCAAAAGCAGGAAGACATATCTGGGACTTGGAGGAAGAAAGGAAAGATCAGCAGAAGATGAATGTATGTCCCACATGTACGTCTTGAAGCAAACCATTCCAAGGAATCAATTCTTTGCCCTTTCTTGCTGCAGGAACTCCCAGAACCATCTCCAAGGCTGAATTCAGGCAGGAACATCCAAGTGCTGCAGCAGCCAGGGGAAAACAATACATCACATGCTGTATCAAGACTTAAAGGCTCAGAAAGAGATGGCTGAAGCTCAAGGCAACAGAAGATTTATTTCTTTTGTTGTTAAAGCTCTTTGTCTTAAATTTGAGGTATCCAAGATGGCACAGAAGGAAAACCCTTCTTGGTTAAATTCCCAGGAGAGCAAGGAGGGAGCAGACCCAGAAAATGTCCCTGACACTGAAGACTTTTTATTTGCCAGACTCCAGCTCTTGTTTTTTACCTCCTCTGTTCTGTACCCACTGTGTCTCTCCCCTGCTTCCTTACACTCTTTTTTCTTCTGTCCTACTTCCTTGCTTTTAGTGTTTTTTCCTTTATCCAGCTGCTACTCTTGGTTCCCACAGGAGCACTCCAGGGCTAACCCACATCTCCTGTGCTCTCTCCACCTGCCTACACCAAGGTCCCTTTCAGTGCTCTTTAGCTTTCACAACCAGATTTTTCTGGCCATGAATTTATAATCCCAATCAGGAATTTTCTAATCCCCTCTGCAGGTCTAACTGAGAAGACAGTTGTTTACTGATTTATTTCTAAACACAGCTGAAGGCTACAAAAATCTTCTAGGCAGAAAAAGATGATGCAGGTGACACTCCAAAGGGGCTTAAGCCATATAAAAGAGTTTTTTTTAAAAAATTCTAATAATCAGTCTAAAGCCCAGAACTCAAAACTAAGGTCAGATATTGACAGAAATTTTTGTTCATACTAGATACATATATAGTTGTTGGATTAATCTAAGAAAGAGCCCTAATGATGTCAGAATGTCATTGTGTTCCTTATGTTTTATAAGGCACATCAATTGGCATGTCTGATATAAGCTTGAATTCTTGTAAATATACGTAAGTATGTCTTTTAGCCAGATTTCTTGGCTCTGGAATCTGTAAGCCACTCAGTTATTATGAAAAAGGAGATTAGAAGGAAGAACAATACATTATAATGGATTTCATAATGTGGCTGCTTCTTTTAGTAGGTAAAGATTTATGTTCCATCAAAAATTTTCAAAATTCTCGTAACCATAACAAACTGTTGTTGATTTGATGCCTTCAGCTGTAGCTTTAATATTTTTCAGATTCTGAACTGCATTGGTATAGAACTCTGAACTTCATATAAAGTGTCAGCAAGTTCTCCTCGCAGCTCAGTCTGACAAAACAATTCTTTTCCAGCCCCAGAACCAAGGACACCACTGCAGCTTCAGGCCCAAAAAGTGCAAACAACAAAAAGCCCCAAAAGGCCCAAATAGTGTAAACAACAGCAAATTGAGGAGAGCTGGGAGGATGGGACTGCAGAACCTGGAGCTGGAATTGGACAATTGACCCCAATATGGAAATGGACCAAAACTTATAAAAGTGTGAAAACTTGTGACCCAGGGTCCATCTGGGGTGTAGCCTTGGCCAGGATCTTGTGCAGGATGCATCCTTTGAAGGCCTTTTAATAAATCCCTACTTTATTCCTTTAACACTGCCTAGCCTCTGTTCAGGTAGCCTCTCAAGGCATCAGATTGATACTAAAACATACCAATCATCACACTACTTCTTATATGGAAACAAGATAATTTGTTTCCTTTCATAACAGCAAGTCCAGCTGGTCAGAAAAATTAGATTTTACCATGGTAAAAAAAATTAGATTTTACTCAAGGGGAGTGGGAGCAGAGGGAAGGGAGGGGAAGGAAGGAGAGCCAGAAATCCAGCAAACAGCTGCTCTCAACTGCAGCTCCCACTCCAGCTTTGCAGAACCTCAGGATGGTCGAGGTCAGCAGAGACCTCTGGCAGCCACTCAACTGGATCTGCTTGCCCAGGACCACATCCAGACAGCACCTGAACATCTCCAAGGAGGGCAACTCCACCCCCTCCCTGGGCAGCCTGTCCTGGTGCTCTGGCACCCTCACTCTCCATTAAAACCAGGAAAAGAAATGTTTCCTGATGGTTGACTCTCTGCAGTGTGTTCCTGTCTCTGGCACTGGGGGCCCAAACGGGACACAGCAGTCCAGGGATGAGCTCCACAGTGAGCAGCAAGGAGGGATCCCCCCTGACCTGCGGTGACAATGCTCCCAAGACAGCCCAGTTCACCTTCTGGTGACTCTTGGTCAGCTCGGTGCCCCCCAGGTGCCCCAGGGCCTTTCCTGGCTCCCTGCTGGGTGTCCCCAGAGCGTCCTGGGCTTGTTCCTCCCCAGGGACAGGACTTTGTGCTCCTCTTGCTGAGCTGGCCCGCCTGGCTCAGTCCCTCTGGACAGCAGCACATCTCTCTGGCACAGCAGGGCTGTGTGCCCAGACACCTCTGAGGGGCCCCACATCATGATGGAGATGTAACACAACTTGGGGCTCTCAGACAAGGAAATTAAAGTGCCAAGACCCACCAAAGGACCTCCGGACATGACAGCTGACCCAAACAAGCACAGGATGATGCATGTAGGCAACGAAGGAAAAGGAAAAAAAGCTGTCAATGACAGTAAGGGGATTTGTTTTTCAAGATATATGGATATAGTTTTTAATATAGCTGTAGTTTTTAATATATCTGTAATGTATTTTTAATTTGATTTATTAATAAGCCTTCTTTGTAACTGGAATTGATTAGAAAGAGTCTTTGCTTTCTTTGCTGTTCATCTATCACACCAGAGAATACATATAATCAAATACTCTGAAATTGTTACTAGCCTTAGTGACTTGACTTTTCTGGGTAAAAATCACATTGCATGAGGTATTGCACAGGATGTACAAATCAGCAAAATATGTACACCAAAAATTTGCTTCAATGTATTTAGTTTGAGCAGTTATTTATACTGAGGGGATGTTTGTCATTGCAGGAGTCCCTCTGGGGTCCCATCTGAAATGCCATCAGCACACAGATGATAAAACATGCACATAACAAAGATGGAGTATGTAACTTTTACCTGTCACCCACCAAATTGTCTCCACTGAAAACTTACTGGGTTTTCAGTAAGGGTAGAGCCAGTCTCAGGTATGCTCTGTGACAGAGTCATTGTTCTCCTACAGATTAATAGAAATTTTACCCCAATTAGAGGTTAGTAGAATGAAACACAAATAAATCACTGTTAGCTTTTCCACATATCACCTGCCTTGTGTAAATTTAAAACATGTATACTGTATTTTCCTGACTTGATTGCTTAATGTCACACCCAAAGCCCATAAAATCCAAGTTTATCCCGATGCATAAAACAAGTGGTAGAATTAACACCTTAATGGCTATACCAAACTATCTCTAAACATGTCATAGTTTTCCAAGCTAATAACGCAAATTCTCTGGAAGACTGCCAAAGGAAACCAACCAAAGCCTTCAGGAATTGCTGAGAGAAGGGAAGATTTGATGGAAGGTAAAATGACTTTTTCCAAGTTCTCTAGAAGAGTCAGCAGTGTCTGTGATAGTGCTTTGGCTGAGGGTGGTGAAAGACTGAACAAGGTTCCTTTGAGATGAGGACAGCGTTAAACCCATGATGGAAAGAATTACTGGAGCAGCAGCAGGAGATTTGTATAACCAAACCGAGGGGCTGAGGAAGAACTTGTGCCCAGCTGTGCCTCTGTGGGAGCTCTGTTTCACAGGGCACAAATGACATCCATCCCAGTGCTACAGCATGGTGGGACACACTCCTCGTGAGGTGCTGCAACCTCCAGCTCACTCCCTGGGTGGCTGCAGACATTAAATGGTACTCAAGGCCAATGCAAAAAAACATTAAATCATAATATATTTCAACAGAGCATTTTAAGATGAATTGGACCATTCTCTGGCCAGAAGTGACTCTATAAACATGCTAAACAGACCAATTCAACACTTGTCCACATTGAATGATCTATTTAACTCCAAGACGTGCCTCTGAGTTGCACACTCAGGCCTGGAAAAGAAAATAATTAACATTGTATTCCTGCAGCAAACCCAGAAGCTATTTTTTTTCCTGTCTATTCCTCAGCTCCAACCTTGCTGCTCTTCTGGACAGTGCTGCTCCCACAGTCCATGATCTCCAGAACCCAGCAGGAAACACGTGAGATGGCCCTCTGTGGTTACTGCACTCCAAAATCCCAGTTACCCCTGTAATACCTGTGGAAGATTTGCCACAGGCACCTCATTTCCAAAACCAAGAATGCACAGCAAGCAGCCATTCATTGCCAACCAGAAATATAATCTTACATTTTTGTAGTAGATTTAATAGTTAGAAAGAAATAATTGCTTCCTGGGCCATCTGCAACCCACTTGAAGCACCATGTGCTTTTCTAAGTGTGGGGATGAGAAAGTCACCGGTCACTTTTGGCAAGCTCTGGCCAAAGGCAATGAGTGAAGTCCCCAGCCTCATAAAGGCAACAGTTGGCAGGTCACAACGTAGTCATAAAAACACCACTGGGGACATCACAGATGGGCACACACACGCGGGCAGTGCTGAATCTTATCACTCCATGAGCAATTCTCTCCTGTCTTTGTAGAACCTCCACTGTTTCGGCTTTCATTTTGCCAGTGTCCAGATTCCAACGGGTATTTTTCAAAGGCATCAGCAGCTCATGGGACAGCACAAAGAACAGGAATACACACACCAGTCCCACAGTGCATTTCCTTGCTCTTAAGGAAAAATTATTTGGGTTGCAAGGGACCTTAAAACCCACACAGTCCCACCCCTGCCATGGCAGGGACACCTTCCACTGTCCCAGGTTGCTCCCAGCCCTGTCCAGCCTGGCCTTGGGCACTGCCAGGGATCCAGGGGCAGCCCCAGCTGCTCTGGGCACCCTGTGCCAGGGCCTGCCCACCCTCAGCATAAAAAGCAAAGATCTTTTTTACATCTAGTTTAGATCTACATTCTTTCAGTTTACAACCACCAACCCTTCTCCTGCCACAACAGGCCCAGCTAACAGGTCTGACCCCATCTTCCCTACAGACCCCCTCAAGTAGTAAAAGGCTGGAATTTGGTCTCTCCAGAGCCTTCTCTTCTGCAGGCTGAGCACCCCCAGCTCAGCTCATAGCCTCCTCTGGACTTGCTCCAACAGCTCCAGGTCTTTCTCCCATTTGTTATGGATGAGTAATGGGATCATTGGCTCTCCCAATTAAAGGGTGAACATTATGTTAAGAGAAGTTTTATAGATGTAGAGTGATGTTACTGTAATATGTCCTCCTGCAGTATTGTTGTCACGGGATGGCCTTAGTAGTCGGGGCATTTGGGAAGGCTGGCTTGTTACTATGGCAGCACATGGCTTCCAACCAAGGTGGAAGAAAGTGATCTCCACCACGGGGCAGCAAGGAAGGAGTCGACTGACAGGACTTTAGGAGAGGCTAGAGGTATAAAAGGCAGAGCATTCATTTTGAGGATGAGCCAGGTGGCTGGCAGTCACAGAGGCAGGGCTCCCAGCACTGCAATTTTAACCTTATTTAGTCCTTTTGTTGTATTTTTTGTTAAGGTTTGTGAGAAATAGCTACTCACTTTTCATAGTTTAGGAAGGTTTATTAAACCTTATAAAAAATACAACAGAAGACTGAATAGAGAAAAAAAGTTGCAGCACCAAAAGCAAAAGATTTTCCCCACCATGTGCTCTCTTCCCCACACAATGGTTTCCCCTTTTTAACCCTTTAACCCCTCCCAAAGTTCTGTCCATCAACCCCTTCTTCACTGTCCAGTGGTGGAGGTCTCTTCCCCAAATCCTGACTGGAGGTCAGGTGTCACCACAGTGACAAGCTGACCCTCCCAGATGTCCCAGCCCCAGCTGTCTCTTGATAACCACGTCAGGAGGCAAAACATAACCATAAGTCTCTTAAACTTTTATTAACCTGTATACATGGTATTTGTCTGTTAATTGTGAGAGTCAATCATCACGTTACTCATCTATCACAGGTTTAATAAACCTCTAAAATGTTAAAAAGTGAGCGGTCGTTTCTCGCACGTGTGAGCCCCCAGAGCTGCAGGCAGCCCCCTGAGAGGGGAGCAGAGAGGCAGGGTCCCCTCACTGCCCTGCTGCCCACGCCGTGGGGTGAGCCTGGCACACGGGGGGTCTGGGCTGCCCAGAGCATCTGGCCACCCACAATAATTGCTCCTGGACCTGTGCAATGGAGTTCCACAGCTGGAAAGGGGTTTGGTGGGATATTCTTCCCCTTCACCAGCAAATTATCCCTGATCTGGGGACAAAGACATCCCAGTGTCAGTCTGGCATGACGGGCTAGTTCAAGTTTTTCTGGTCCTTCAGAATAAGTATTTTTTGCCTCTTGCACAGTCACATTAGAGAGGGTTGGGAGAGGGAAATGAAATCCTGCCGCTTGCCTGACTTCCAGCAGCAGAGGCCCTGTGCTGTGGAGGTTTCACAGTGACTTCTGTGAACCAGAGAGAAGTTTGATAAGAGGATCCATGTTGAAAGAATTTTCTGCCAAGGTCGTTAATATAGAGACCAAGAAAGAAAGGATAAAGAAACCTGCAACTGCCTATTTCAGTAAGCACTTTGTTTGTCTTTCCTGACCAATGAGTAAAGTGTAAACTGAGGAGTTTTGTAAGAATGTATGAAAAGCATGCATGCTGGAATCAAAATGGTTTTGAAGCCTTCTGACAATGGAGTGTTGCTTTGGATTGTGACCATCTCAACTAGGGCACTGTGCCACAGCAGGAGCAGCCATGCCAGGCTGGCGGGTGTGACGTGGGACCTGGGGGACCCCATTCCCACGTGCAGGAGCAGCACCAGGCCAGGGACACGCGGGGCTGCCTGAGAGCACAACCACCCACTCCCAAAGTGCCCCTAGAAACCTGTGGGGCCTGCAGATACAAAGATTTTATTGGCAAGCTTCCCAGATGATATGCAGATGGCCAACATATGGTCAAGTCACTCTCCCAGAAGAAAAAGGAGGCTTTAGTAATTTCTGCAAGGTTTTTTTTTGGTTTGTTTTTTTTTTTTCAGTGAAATGAGAAACTATTTCAATTGCTGCATGGCATATGCACATATCTTTCCATCCAGGAAATCCTTAAAGATGAAACCCTGCCTGAAATATGGGAGCCCTAAAATGGCTATATTAATGACATAACACAATTCACATGTGGTTTCATTTTATACAGATAAAGGCAGGAAAAAACGAAAATACACCATTTCCTAGTGATCCACTGCAGACCCTCTGTGGAATCAGTGGAAATCATCCTTTAATATACTCTAATAAACTTTAATAACCCCTTCATCACTCTCTACATTTTAGCTAATCTATTAGATTTACCTAACAGTGTTCATGTAGTACCCTTGCCATTTTGGGCAGTTTCCTCAGCTAGAATGTCATTTGGGATCTCAAATGGGCTCCCCTTCACTGTGCACAGCTGTCTCAAATAGATGAACAACAGTATTTTGTGACTTACAACAGTAATAGCCAGAAATTAATCACAAGAATACACAGTCTCACTTTTCCTTGTGTTCCATAACAAATAAGAGTAGCATTTAAAATATACATCTATTATGAATATATACATAAATTCACTAAAAGAATGCTCTTTCACTTGTTGGTGAAAGACATCAAATCTTAGAGTCTTCTAAAGTGGAAAAAGGAACATTCTAAGTAATTATACACCCAGGGATCCCTCCTCCTCTGAAAAGACCTCAGAAAAACCTGACAGAGCCAGACCACTTCAAACATTTCAAAGATTTTGTTGCTATAAAACTGTAATTCAATTAATGTCAGTTTCTCAGTTTGGGAAGCAAATATTTG